AAAAAAAAATATATACCGACGAATTGAATACCTCCTTCTTTTGGGAAGTCGGTCAAAAATAAAATAGTACGTGGGTTAAAATTACACTAGTAACATTGTAATCTATCTAAAAATCTTATAAAAAAATTTAATAAACAAAATGTAACTACAGTTTCGTACAGTTTCGTAAACGACTCTAAGCATGAATAAAATTTTAGTATCAGCTGAATCGTACGTATTCTAGAAACACAATTTGGTTTCTAAAGTCATGTACAAGCACATCTATAAAGTGAAATGGACTGTAATACAAGGCAAGATTGTTTAATGTTAAACGCAAGTTCCTACTGCATAAGAAAAGTTAGAGAACGCTTAGACCTTGACCGTGCAATTTATTGCTTTGTTTTTTCGTTACATTGTCGCAGCGGCACGCAAACACCAACATTCATATGAAAATTATACGACGCTCATTTGTTCGTGTCAAAAAGTATAAGCAAGTTTTTCTAAAAGATTTCAGTAAAGAAAAAGCCATGCTTCGTAATTTAAGGTTAGTTGATGTTGTTAATATCTGTGGCGCATTGCTTTTGATATTAATAAATATAAAATTAAAAAGAAATAGGTAAAAACGAACATGAAATTTCGTACATCGAATAGAAGTTATACACTTGTATTAAAAAAAACTTTCTTATGTTTTTTTGGATAAAAACCCAAATGTGGGAAAAAGACCATAAGTTGTTGCTAACATTAAGGAAGCAAGATTGCTAAGGTTTGTCATGTCATGTCATTTTGACATTTGCTATTGATAATTTGACAAATGTAAACAATAGAATAAAATTTTATAATTTCATGCGGATGAAGCCGCACGGGAACAGCTAGTTCATGAATATAACTATAGGTTTCGTTACTCGAAATCTGTACCATTACATAAGTGATTCCTTCGGAAATAATTGAAGCCTTCCCCTTGAAGGCTACAATTTTGGTTGATGTAACCGTCTAAATGACATCGCCGTTCTACGTAATGAGGGTAAGGAATCTTGTAGGGAACATCTTTGTGCCATTTTTCCAAGTTGTAACGATCTAATACACTCAAAACCACGACAATAATGGATAAGGTTTTTATACAGCTTTTTGAAACTTTTTAACAAATAAAGACTATAATTTATACTAAAGCGTGCAAAAGTTTGTTACGTTTTCCTCGCGTTATCGTTCGATCATCATAAAATGTTGCATAGATTTTGTTGGAGATTATTTTTTCTACGAAAAAATCTATTCGCAAGGTTGGGCTCTATATTATCCTAGTAGAAATACCGCAAGTTAAAGTTAAGTAACTCTTATACAAAGGCAAATATCTTATACAAGTATACACAAGTACGACTATAGGCGCTGCTATAGATTGGTTCTGTTCCAAAAATATTTAAAACCTATAAGACATAGCAGTGCATAGAAGAAGGGCTAGAGTGCTATCTTAATTGATTTTTAGATACCCACCGGGTCAAATAAATTTTCGATCTATATATGATGCCTTATAGAACATATCCCAATATTGTTTAACCTCTAAATCTTGACCCAAGGCTATTTAACGTCGCACAAGTCTAGTTTATTCCTTTGAAAAAAAAAAAGAACAGCCTGTAATATTATTTTCAGATATCAGTTCTAATATTTAAAGCCAGCTACATACGATCTGTTTTATCTGAACAGTTGTCAGTTTTTTAAGATTTATCCGAACTATCGGATCGTTTAGAGTACTGAACGTATGTAGCTGGCTTAACGTGTTTTCAGTGAAGTAGATACATCAATGTTAGGAAAATATGATTTTACAATTTCTTTTTTTTTGACAGGTGGCGGTTTTATGAGATTATTTGGCACGTATTTGGCGACACATGGCTCCGCGCTGGGGACATACTTCAGATTATTACGTCCCCGCGGCGTGTCACTGGATTTTCGTGAAATTTTAAAAAGAGTCAACACGCCGTTTATGTTTTGTTTGAAAATTCCCGGCTCCACTTCACTGGCAGAGGTAATTATGTTGAATGTGTTTGTTCGTCAATTTGTATACTTGTATAGCATAGAGACATTAACGGCCGAATTTTGAAACGAATCTCAGACATTTTATAAGCGCCGCTTACAATCTGAAAAAAGTTATTTTAATGCAATTTGTAGTTTACATGTGGCCTTATCATTTAAGACGGTATTTCATATTTCAATTTCGTTTCAGTATTTGGCCGTTAGAGAGATTACAAATTAAAATGTGCATACTCATATGATTTAAAATGCCTTATCGTCTTGTAAATTTAAATGCGAAAATAACTATTCTGAATCCGACACAAATGAGCAAAAAGCTTGTTAAAAATGCACGAATTTTCGCGGTTATTTAATAAACTAAAAGAATGATGAATTATGAATTTTAGAGAAAAGATTTATTAATAATTGTTTTAGTATTATGCTAGAAACGATTATAAAATATAATATCCCGTAAAATAATATTCTATTGATAAGAGAATTGTAAAAGTGCAAAATCACCGTTGCCTATGTTATGAGTCCCGCGTGCGTGAAAGGTTGGAAAAAAATTCCAGGTCCGTGTTCAAATTTTGTGAAAGGTCGATAAGGCTGAAGTCAGACGTAAAGGTAACCATACACGGATTATAGCAGACAGATAGAAATAAAAGTTGAGTGTTGTAAAAGCTTTCTTTTTCTGTTTTGACTTTAATTTTGTGCAGAATTCACTGACACCGTCAACATTTTTTTTCTGCAAAAATGCAGTCGATCTGTGATTCTAAAAAAATGTAAATATGACCCCTGTATACTTTCCAATTGAATTTTCATTTGCTGAATGCCTAATAATTTACTCTTTTATTGTACAAATACTGTAAAAGAGTAGAAAAGAAATTTACCCACGATATTGTGTGCAAATTACAATTCTTATATAACTGGTACTATTTAAAGTTGAGATTGCACAGAGCCGTTGGGAGTGCTATCCAAATGAGACCATTTATTTCTTCTACTTAAAGGAACTTGCACAGTATATACACTTTATCGACCTAGAATGTTCTTTAAACTTTATGGATATGAAAAAGCTAATTTAGATTTTATTTACAACACATTAAAGTTTAAATTTCATCAGATATTTGTGTCATTAGGTATCTTTTGTTTAAATTAGTGAGTAAGTAAATAGTCTAGGTGTAAAAAGAATCTACGAAAATAAAGTTTTAGAATCTCTATTAAATGAATTTTAGATTTTTTTATATTGTCCATTTTTAACTTCTCCTTTATTGTTTAAGTTATTTATACCAAGATAAATATATTTTAAGGCGAAGTTCAAGCTAGTATTCGCCGCCCACTTAGTTTGTGAACTATCTTTACAACCACTTTCCCGTCGCCGCTTCATCTTTTTGAATGCGCTTTACAAAGTACTGAGAAAACTCGCCTCCGCCTCTGCGGTTGATTTCTGTAATAACACTATTAAAAGAATGAACGTTTAAGGATGTAATGTTTTGTTATAAACGGGAACTATCTATGAGTTTTACTTGGAATCTTATGCAGGCCACACATCTGCATGACGTACAAATGCGTGACAAAACAGTACAATTATTTTCACTAACTTAGTTAAGCCGGCAAGGTTACAATCATCACGCAAGATCTATTTGCACGCAGAAAGTTTGCCCATGACTCCAACTCCTACAACACCGACAGTATCGTAACTTAACGCATACCTCGTGAGACCATCGGCAAAGCTACGCACAGTTAATATGTGCCTGCTTAGGATAGAAATAGATATTCATTGTTGTTGATTGTTCCATTAATTTTAGTAATGAGTTTCTGTTTCAATCAAATCCTGTCATGTCATTGTCAAAACCGGACGTGTTTAACTGGTTTATATTATTTATTTCTGACTAGCTTTCACCCGCGACACCGTCGACGTGTAGTTAAAAAAGAAAAAGTAAGTAGCCTATGTGTTTTCCCAGACTATCGTCTACGTCTATGCTAAATTTCATAGTTATCCGTTGAGCAATTTAGGCTACAAACTCTAACAAACATCTATCCATCTAAATTATCGCATTTATAATAAAATTTTAGAATTAAACTGATGGGCAGAACAAAATCATACATAGTATAAATAAAGAATGCCGTTATGTAAAAATATGTTTATACTTCTTTGTATTATAATATAATTTTTTGAAGATCGATGATCTCTCCTTTGATAAAGGGTTTCCTTTTGTATTACTGAGCATGTTTTCGTATCTTTTATCCTTTCCTTTGTTATCAGTGACGGGTGGGTTTCGGTTTAGTTCTATTTCAAGTGATACAGACCTTTGTTCGTTTACCAAACAACATTACGACCTCTAGAATAGACACTGTTTTCTCACATACAGGGATAGTTCCGAATTCTGTTGTTTATTTTCTTTTTAGGAAAGTGATTACTCTTCTAATATTTAGACAGTGTTAAATTTTAAGTTTTAAAAGTAACACGATAAATTACAGATTCATAATCGATTGCTTTTAATAAACAAAATAACAAACAAGAAATAGAAGAATTGTAGAATAAAAGATAATTTGGCAAAAATATATTTAGCAGTATTTATTGTACCACTTCAGGTTAGATTTGAAAGAAAACTGTATCTTTCTTTGCTATTAATAATAAAATTCTTTTTGTATTTTTACAATTAATGCGACTGTATTTTCAACAATTCAACGTAAAATCACTGATTGAATCTGTTACTTAGATTTGTAAGGCAACGTCAACAAACGCCCCTCTGTTGATCCCTTAACTATGTTTGATTACGGAACAGTATTTGGCAACAACCGATACTAGATTGAATGAGATTTACAGCGTTGGATAGATTTAGTAATTACAGCGTTTCGATTAAAGCAACTTTAAATTTACATACGAGTATAATATGTTGAAATATTCTGAATTTCATCTTGGATTCTATTTTATACTTAAAAAGGACGGGAATCAGTTCATTAACTGCACTCTTTTTTTCTCTTTATTTTTATAGGAACTTTGGTTATATAATACATCATACCTATACCATATAAATACAAACAAACATACAAAATAGAAAAAGAATGAAAAACAAATTACTGTCAGCCCTTTAACACCATACTGCAGATTTCATCCGCTACATCGGAACTCCGCTTTTCATAATTAATACAATTGTGTCATTACAGAAGATTATATTATAAAGTGCAGAAAATACCTCCTACTTTTGTGTGAAGTTGGAAATGGTCTCGTTACATTCTTTTACGCAAGTTACGTTGTATGTATTAAAAGCGGTTTATGCAGTTTTAAAATTCAATCTTCTTTTGAAATGCACAAAGTTTAAAATTATTTGTTGAAGTAACTTCTACATTATTCTTGGTATATCGAGTTCAAAATTGGAATCACATTAGTCTTCCGAGTAGCAAATCTTTGCTTCTTAATATCAAATCAATTTCTCATAGTAAAATAATTTCTTCGGCAGATTGTAATCACTGAAATGTAGGTCAGACCTCTAGCATAAAACAGTAATATTAAAGGCGTCTTTGATACAGATTATTGGTCTTGTGTTCGTAGAAACCATCCATGTTTCCCTTTCGTGGAATTTTGGCTTGGAGGTTTTTAAATTTTGGAAACCATCCAAATTGTAAAAGCTTTGTATACTTAGTGATTGCTTTTTTTGTGATAATACATACAGTTCTACTTTTCTTTGAATCGAAATATGATTAATCTACTATCATAATGCAGATATTATGTTTTCTTTTTTTTATGAAATATTTTGACCTAAATATTACATGCACTCATGAATCATTGTTTTTGTTATACTGATGATATTTTATAATTAAAAGTAAGATAAATATAGAAAAAGTAAGTTTAGATTGTGTAAGAGTACTTAAGGAGACGGTGAATTCAAATAATGACGGCCGAAGATACCTTCTCCATCTTCTGTATGGAAAAAAGTACAATATTCTTCTGATGTCCTAAGGATGTAGAGTCTTGTTTCAACAATTCTTATTTATTCAGGGTCTCGAGATAAAAGGCCAGATGGTGTTTTGTTCGGAGTCAGATTCACTCCTATTCGTCGGGTCGCCATTCCTCGACGGCCTCGAGGGTCTCACTGGCAGAGGGCTCTTCATATCTGACATTCCATTACATGATGCTACAAGAGATGTTATTTTAGTTGGAGAACAAGCAAGGGCTCAAGTAAGACCACTGTTTACCTTATGAATAATGAATAAATAGCAAGACTACGATGATTACAAGTTGTTTTACTTTTTAGGATGGTTTAAGAAGAAGAATGGATAAATTGAAGAATTCAATAGAAGAAGCTAGTAAAGCGGTTGATAAGGAACGAGAAAAGAATGTCAGTTTATTGCATTTAATATTTCCACCTCATATTGCAAAAAGATTATGGTTGGGTAAGTTTATAAATTGCGCTAAATATGACATATAAATTGATAACCGTAGAAGTCAATATTCGTATCTACATTGCTATATCACTGTCACATTTACAAACACAAATCGATATCTCTATTTTATCAAAGACGATGAATGCGACTACAGTATTTTGTAGAAGTACGGGAAGGGTATTTTAAGGAACATTACCGTTTTAGGAGAGAAAATTGAAGCGAAAAGCCACGATGACGTAACAATGCTGTTCAGCGATATCGTCGGCTTCACGTCTATCTGTGCGACCGCCACGCCTATGATGGTCATTGCTATGCTCGAGGATTTATACAGCGTGTTTGATGTGTTCTGTGAAGAATTGGACGTGTACAAGGTATTTGTTTCGAAATAAATTAAAGAAATTAGATTGGCCAAAAATCACTTAAAATGTACTCCTTTACATAAAACTCAAACAATTTTATCAACATTGTTAAGACAAGAGCAAATTTCTAGTTGTAAAACACAAACACCTAAACATAAAACACGTATTACACATAACAATTACGTTCGATTTTTACATATCAGTGCTGAACCTTCTTTAATCATTTAGGTGGAGACAATCGGCGACGCATATTGCGTAGCCAGTGGTCTACATCGTAAGATAGAGACGCACGCTCCCCAGATCGCTTGGATGGCGTTACGTATGGTGGAAACTTGTGCCCAACATCTTACACATGAAGGACATCCGATAAAGGTATAATTAACCCTAGTAACTCAATTAATCGATTTAAAACTGCTACAATATCTAGTTCCGTATCGACTAATTTCAAAGTGATCCTTCTCTAAAATCTGATACGAATCTGAATTCGAATCCTTGATCTAATTGGTACTGACACCGTGTTAACTCGAGTAGCTTTTGATTATTACATAGTGTAATAAAGCTTTAATGTGATGCGGTGTCTGATGGATTTTTTTTACCATATTATTTAGCCATGAAAATTTACAAATTAACCATTTGACAGATGCGTATCGGTCTCCATACTGGTACGGTGCTTGCTGGGGTGGTTGGAAAAACAATGTTAAAGTATTGCCTCTTTGGACATAATGTAACTCTGGCTAACAAATTCGAATCCGGATCAGAACCACTCAAGATAAACGTTAGTCCTACCACATATAAGTAAGTTAACTATTTATTTTAATCAAATCTAAATCGAATCTTTTTTCTTTCCACCTACTGTGATGAGTACTTGAGATACTAACGGCCTAGTTTTGAAACGAATCTGTTAGACGTCATTTTTAATAGAACTTATAGTTGATGCTGCTAAATACTTTAAATTTCGTTTCAGGATTTGACCGTTTTATTTATTGCGAAAATCAAGTTGTTAAATGTCCATCAATAGAATACATAGTACACTAGTCTCAAACCGTTTAGATAGTCAAGTCAAAGTAACTTTAAGTTAAATAACTTTGGCAGAACGTCAGCCATATTGCATGCTCCGGTATTTGCGGAATCAAAAGCGCTTAACTTGGTTTGTTATAAATTGTTTATTATCTAACACGTTCGCTCGAAACTTAATTATTTTGATTCTAAAATTCACAAACACATTAATTGAGTGAGGATTTTTCTCAATTGGCGTTAATTCAACCATAGATAAACCGTGTTTTCAAGAGTAGAATGAACAAGCGATTATTAGTGTACTATCATTGTAAGCATAGGGCGGAATGGTCAAGCGCAAATTTATTCGTAATAAAAACTGTTTTGAAATCTTCATAATATTGTATAAACTATTGAAGATATTGAAATTTATGATCCAAAGTAGTTTTGTTTGAAAACAAATTTGATCCAATATGAAAGTTTAAAAGTATAAAAAAGACTTTATCCCGCAGGTGGCTCATAAATTTCCCCGGCTTCGAAATGGAGCCGCGAGATCGCTCCTGCCTTCCGAACTCGTTCCCCAAGGATATACCGGGAACATGCTACTTTCTGCATAGATACAAGCATCCGGGGACTGACCCAAGCGCCTCACAGGTAAAGTTTTATTACCATCACACCTAAATTAAACACCCTTTATTTGAAGAACGATAGGCATTTGTTTAAACGTTCTTGGTTTTCTAAACAAAATGTTCATGGTTTTCGGAGATATGATTATTGCAGCAATGGAAGCCCACTTTTAGTTTTTTCATTGCTATTATTTATCAACAGGTACAGCACATACAGGATGCTCTAATCGATTTCGGAATCGGACAAGGGAAGTCAGTCCACGTTGATAATGAAGAACCTACATAATTACTACAAATATTACCTAGATTTAAACAATCTTTTGAATTAATAATTGAAATATATCATTTGTAAATAGCTTCATTTTAAATCCTGTTTCAAATGCCTTAAATACTCATATTAACTATATTGTAATTAAAATTTCAACATACTGTAGAAATCTATGTGAGTATTCATAGTAGCACGTAATATTGCTTAAGAATTTGCTCACAGAATAAATAATTTATTAGATTAATATAAGATCTCTGCTTGTAAAGGATTAGTTATTACGTTTTAACAAGTCATTAAATTTAAGATAATAAAATATGAAAGTATAGATAAAGATCTATTTAAATCTCTACACGAACCTATAGTTTTCTCTTTCTTTCTAAAGTAGAATGAGAGTGATAGCAGTTCAGTATCAAGGCCGAATATTGAAACGAAACTTAAAAACTCGCTTTATAAGAGCCTGTTACATTTTATATCAGTATTCGGCCATGCGTTTTAAATGTAGTATTTTTTCTTATATGGTAAAACATTTTAGTGATACAGAATACTACTTTTGTACATAGTTTTCTACGCAAATAGAATAACTTAGACAACATTAAGACGATGAGAGATATAACTTAGATAAAAAACAATAACTTTAGGAATTTAATACGCTCTAGATTTGGAGCTTATGTTAAATCTATTCAATCTAATAAGTTCCCAGTATTTTACTACTTATGATATTAAATATTGAAAATCGGTTTCTTTCATTCTGATCTCAAAATTTTTAATAATATCGAGATCTTGTTCTCAATTTTGACGCAGACGCCAGATGTTAAATTTTCGAGATTCATTTATCTTAAAATTATCAATAATTCTATTAAATATGAATCTACAAAAATGTAACAAATTACTAGTTTCGAAGAACATAGGCTACGGAAAAGAAATAATCAAATAGTGAGAATAAAACAGTGTTGGATTGCGAAATACATTTTTTCTCTTACCATCCCAAAAAGGTTAGAAAATTAAAAGACTTGTCCTTTAAAATAAACAAATTATTCAACTAATTAGCGTAAAGTCAAGTTCTACTTTGTTTTAAATCTTGTGAAAATTTGAAATGACAGAAAGCACTTACTAATCAGACAAATAAAGACATTCGAAGCTACTGACGACATTAAACTTATAACAAAAATGAAAACTATTTAAAAATATATTTGTAACACCAAAGAAACTAGAAACAAAATTTATATTACTTATACTGATGTTAATTCTAACATAGAGTCAAATACTGAAACGTTATTTAAATATGGAACGGCGTCTGAAATGTTAAAGCCATGTTTAAATATCGAATTGCATTAAAACGTCTTAACAGATTATAATCGACGCTTGCGTTTAAGTTTAAAATTCGTTTCAGTATACAACTGAACGTCTTTACATGTATACTTTCTCGTTGTGATTTAGGACGTTAATCGTAAGTTCTTTTGTTTCTACCATAATTAGATTATTATTAATGTTATTATAACAAGCCTTTTTCATCCTTCTGTATTTTAATACCATCATTCTGTGAGTGATGTTTTATTGTGAACGAACACTTAACAAATCTAGTCACAGCCATAGTCTTTAAGGTAATTTTGTGTACCAAAGTATATTATTTTTTAATATTTCAACCCAGTACAAATGTATATCGCTCTAGAGAATAATCTTAATAATTAATAGCAATTAATTACAACCTTTCATTGATGTATATTTCAACAAAAATCATTTAAGTAGTAATTTTATGTAATGTGTGAAGTAGCTGTGAATTTCCACTGTACTCAAACCTGTATATATTGTTATTCTTGTCATTCTATTTGGAAGATAGAGATAGCAATATTTTACAGTTAACAGCATTGAAATTATACTATTCTATTGAAAATGTACGAGAGAATCTCATGTGTTAGCTTTTAATTATAAAGCTTTACTATTTTGCTATTAAGACGATGTAAATACATTTGAATCTGGGATAATTACGACTTACGTAGATATAATGCGATTGGCAGTAGATATAGAATAAGTTAAAAGCTTAAAATTAAAACGTATATCGTAGCGCATTAGATCCGAAGCTTTATCGAAGGAAATTAAGTCTTTTGAAGGTCGATTTAAGATCCATTATCCCTAATGCTTAAGTAGATATTTCTAATGGCAATTACATTTGCTACAGGATGTTCAAATTTTCGTTTTATACCAACTCTTTTGAGGTAAATAAATTAAATCTTTTCACTTGAGCACCCGCCCGTATTGCTGGAACTAAATTCACTGAACAAATTTACTGTTTGGTTTTAAACACTTTGAATTAATTCAACTATAAACATAGCTTTATTTAAATTTATTTTTAAACCTCTATGGTTACTATTAGGGCCTAAAGAGTTATATTATTTCTATGGAATTTTATGAGTAATTTTAGTATTGTAAATTTATTCTTTTCTAAAAACGTCGTTTTTGCTATTTTAAGCATGCTACTAGTCATTCGCTATTTAAGAAATTTGTATAGCATTAAAATTAAGAGTACTTACTATACATAATTTATGAAAAAGCGTACGTTCTAAAGTAGAATTTATTCTCAAAGTAGGAAGTACTAGAATTCCATAAATATTTCGCTAGGATATAGAATTAGATATTAATTTCTTCAACGCAATATTTAATATAATTAAATGAAATTGTAAAAAAAAGATAGTCTGTTTTTAATTTATTAATTTATTATTGTCTATAGAGAGCACAAAAATTTATATAAATAATTCAATAATATACATTCCATTTAACGAATATAAATCTAATTTTATCTTAAACCGCCTACACACCTAAGTTTTAACAGTTTAAATATTCAAAAATTGAAGGTGTGTTGGCGGCATTATATTAGCATTATTTTTCAGTTGTAAATGAATATATTTTTTATTAATTTAATTGAGTTTTAATTTAGTCAAATACAATATTAAAGGCATTTCAATCTATTTAAAATCTTTTTCTTTTTCAATAATAAGGAATATAATGAGAGAAATCATATTTATTATATGCTCGTTTATTAACTAGTATCTAGAAAATTAAAATAAATATTAGCTTATATGCAGATTTCTCTTATAGTAATCATTAGAGCCTAGTCGTTGTATAACAATTCTTTGCCTAAGATCACGGCCTTTTATGTAAATGTACTTCAAAATGTATATGTAATTTAGAACATATGTATATTTCACTATTTATATGTTATACGGGTCTTAACTTATTCAACGGTAACTTTAGTATATTTCATTGTGAATGCACTGTTAGGACAACACTGTGAAATAAAAATATTCCTTTCACATTTGATTGTTTTATTTATTTTTCGCCTTGGACTGCGTTAAAATCATAGAGTGAACTATGTGTAGTTAAGGTTAACGCGCATTATTCCAGTCCTGCATATACGATAACGGTTCGCATTGAGATGGCTTCGTTATTCACTCACCGCTGACCCCATCTCGCCGATAATGCGGGATAAAGATACAAAGTTGCGCCGCGACCGGTGCCGTGTGGGCGAGGAGTGCAATGCGCGTTAACCCTTATTCTGTCGGCAACAATGCACTGCTGGCCAAGGGTACGGCTGAATCTAAGATGACTTGCCTGGTATTGTTCAGGAATTACAATTTAAATTTATAATCTACACTAGAGACATGTTTTCTATTTATGACTAAATTCTTTTTTTTGCTAAATTACTTGTTGTCCAGTAAGTATCGTAATTTAAAATCAGGTGAACCGCTGACACAATTTTCTTTTTTTACAGAAATGTCCCTCAGCGATGGTATTCTTAATAACAACATTATGCATAATTTGAGTTTCCACTGAAACATCTGTACTTTACCTGTATTGTCATCTCTCACACTGTGCTTGAAAAAATAGAGATAACAAATGTTTTTGTACTAGTATTTCTGCAGTGGAAATGCCTCTTTACATAGCTCGGTCAGCCGACGCTCTAGATAGCGGCCGTAATGAATATTACCAGCACAGGTGCGCCCTTAATTTCCATACCTGAGAGTTTATTAAACGAAACTCTGTGGGAAATTGTTCTTGATGAAACTAAATGTTTTAGTGAAACTTTAGTTTTATAAAATATATACAAGTTAGTGGCATATTTGCTACATATTTTAAATCTGAGAGACCGTGATAATAACGTTGAATATTAAGGAATTAAAATAATATTATAAAATATTTATAAAGCTGAAAATAGACTTGGCTTTAAAAAAATCTTGATAAAAGATGGCGAGTAAGTATATTTATAGGGTTTACATAATTTCATTTATTTATCAAGAATCAAATCAGAACAAAAAGCATATTGTAAAATGAAGGATATACAAACCTCATGTCTTTATTAACAGTTCATTTTAACGGTTAATGCGTTGGTCCGTATTGGATGGCGCAAGCCCATTCCCCAGATTACATTGTAGCTTAACCAACAAATGTAAAAAAGAAATCGCTCGTTTCATCTTTTCCTTCAATACATAGTAAAGATTGTAGCACACAGCTAAAAAAGTATCGCGAAACCAACGTGACATAGTTTGCTACGGTCATAGAACGGTGAATGGTTCACCGGATTTTCATATGGAACTGCTATGATTAGATTCTTTCGCTTTCTGTGTGCTGCTGGATTAATGCCGTTTCACACACGATCGAACGCCTTTTGTGCCCAGCCCGTCATTTTATGGTTTTCATCAATTGCCGTTTTCATTCGCGAGTCGAGTCGTAAAAATAAGTTTACGTATGAAACGAACATCATTTCGCGTTACGTTTTGTGCAAGATTCCAATATACCGTTTCGTAATTTGTCAATCGTGACGATTTCGCTTTATTGTTTCCACATGAAAGCTTTGTTGAACTTAATAAAACAATACTATGAATTTCCCGTAATGAATTTGATTAAAAAATTGTGTTTAAAATCGAGTGAAAATTCTTTCTAGATTCAGTTCTAAAAAGCATAATTATCGCATTATATTAAAATTTACCCCAACGCAAAATCGTTCCACACATAATTAATTTATTCAAATGAAAACAGACATCAAACAACATAACAGTATAAACATGTTTTAATTAAGTTATTAATCCAGGCTATTGTAAAATTAGCTCACTTTAACCGAATGAATCCATTTCATTATATAAAGTGGATAGACCAATTATGAAATTAAAGGGTTGGGTGCAGCCATAAGTGACGTGACAATGTCACATGAATAGAAATGTAATAAATTGTCAATACATGACCATACACAACAGCATAAACTTAAGTCATACATTGTGAATCAATAGATGTTAAACAGTGTATCTTATCTTATTAATATTGTAAATGCGAAAGTTAATATGGATAAGTATCTTAGAGTTTGTAGCCTAAACAGCTAAATTGATCACGGTGAAATTCGACATAAATGTAGAGAATAGTCTAGAAGAACAGGGATGTTACTTACATTGTTTTTTTTAAGTATGTAATAATGGGGTTGTCAAATTCGTACATTCGAGATGTACAATCAGATTTAAGGGCAATATTTTGTTAATACAATTACGAATTTATAGACCTTTATGATTTAAAAACCATAAGATAGCTTAGAAATGTTTATTATTACAGTTACCTACTGTTTTATAATTAATTATTATAGAAGGTGAAGCGAAGTGGAATGAATTGAATGACAAAGATAAAAGAAAGCTGTTGAATGAAAACAATTAAGGTGTTAAAATGAGCATCTTTTGAAACGTTTTGAAGTTCACTTTTACACCTTAATTGTTTCCATTAATAATGTAAACAAAAGGCTTTTCTTTCGAAAAGCATCTTCAAATGACTGCTCGCGCGTTGCCGTGTTAATGAGAAACCTTGTTGTTTGCAATTTAACAAAATGTTTCCTTGGAAATAAATTAAAAATCAACAAAACACGACTGTCAAACTCTACACACCTTCAATTTTTACTGCACAATTTTAACAGAACAGTCGAACTGGAAGCACTTTGATTCCTATAAGCTTAAAGTGCGCACACTACTCGATTTTTAGTTGTGCAACTAAACAGTTGAATTAACTGCGAAACAATCGACTATCCAACAAAAGTAGTGCGATAGTTAAGTCATAAGTGTGTCCGTGCTCTCAACAGAACAATTGAAAAGTCAACTGTTCACTATTGTAAAGAATGAGTGGAATATTTATTAAATAACCATTTATGAACTTGTTATTTCATATTATCAATTTAAATTCTACAATTTTATTTATCATTTATCATGGTCACGTATACAACTTCGCTGTAAGTTGAGTCTCCGACAGATGTGAGCGGGCATCGGCACAGAATACTAATGTGTAGCTTAACAATTTAATTTTCTTATCTATATGAAATGTTATTTCACTTACCTGGTTTAAAATTTGATGTTTACACATTTTCCATTAAAATGTGATGTGTTATTTATATATCTAAGATGCAAACGCGGTTGTTTATGGGCATAGGTCACATGCTGGTTCGTCATCCCATATTATGAAAAGAAAAACTAGTACCTTGGAAAAAAATAGTGAAATTGGACTTCATAAATATACGTTTTTTTTAACGTTAAGTTATTTGAAGCAGTTCTAACTACTATGTCAATAAAATAAAGCAAAAAATATGTAATATTTTCATGCAGCTAATTTTTTTTAATTTACCCTGTTAAAATACAAATTTGATATAGCACTATGCAGATTATCAATTTAATACCAAGTTGCGGCGGTATTTTTAATTACATTTCATAAAATAGAGTTTGCGAAATGCAATTATCACCATGACACAGATTTTAACGAACGACGAATAAAATTCACTTTGTTAATTCGGGTTATATTTTTAGTTTGTTTTGGCAAAGTAGAGTGTACACATTGTAAAGTAAATTTTACTTTTAATGAAATCTCCTTCATTTTAATTTAAAAAAAAATGTGAAAACGCTGGTAAAAATAACCAAATAGTTACATGTTTCGTAGCGTTATAGCTAACGTAAGACATTTTAGTAATCTTACTAATATTAAGTTTCGATACATTTATACATGTTTGTTAAAGTTTGTGACCTAAAAGGCTGATCGGATCTCGATAAAATTTTACATAGATGTCGAGTATAATCTGGAAGAACACATAAGCTACTTGCTTTTTTTTTAATGCTACGCGGGAGATGTCGCGGGCGAAAGCTATTATAAAATATAGGTAAATAAGTCTTTGTCTATACTCTGTATACTGTGTTTTAGTGACTAGAATTAGATTTTTGGTGTCAAAGAAAATCTTGAAAAACCTATCTTTGTGTCATACCTTTGCGTCATGTATGTACGGGGAAAAAGACTGAGTATCCTAGGCAATATTTTAACTCATCCGATGAAATAAGTCTTCACATAATTATGTTTGATGAAATTTCTTCACTTAAAAGATGTAACAGTTGTAAATGGGTTGATTTGTCTACTATCTAGTTAATTTAAATCAAAACTTAACTACAGTTGTATTTATTCCTAGTGACAGCAAAGAACATTGTTCCGTTTGAATTTAGTGCAAATTGAAATTGAACATTGTTTACTAAGGACTAACAAGTTTAAGTGGTTCGAGTATCGCGGTTAAAGTTTTAATTGATTCATGAGCTGTTAATTGAATTTCAACGTGTTTCGAAAACACGCTTCGTGTAAAAGGGCTTGAGATAGAGAAATCAAAAATTGCTATAAGTATTACTCGAAACTAAACTGAAAAAGTGGTTAG